ACGTCTGGGTGTGGCAGTTTGAGATGCACCCTCAAGGGTAAGGTATTCTATCCATGATCTTTCAAGTTCTTGCTTTTCTTTGATGACTAATCACCCCAGTCAACCCCATAACTCACTGTTCTGCCTAACCCCCTAAAGAAGCCCCCACACCTGCCCCAATTTCCTGTTGCATGGAGGCTAAAGTCCAAATTCCTTCATAATGCACAACCGTCTTCATGATCTGGCCCTGCTTGCTCTCGCGGTGCTTGCTCCTGCCTCTATGAACACAGACCTTGCTAAATTAACTATACCCCCCCCACTCCCCCCTCCCCCACTTCAGCTCCTTGATCAATCAAAGCTCTCCCTCTCTGGCAGCCTTCACCTCTGCATGCCCTTCCCTACCTTGTCTGACCTTTAACTCTTATTCATCATTTATATTAGTTCCCACTGAAAAGCCCTACTGTCTCCAGGGCCTCTGCCCAGTTCTCTACACCCCACCATTCCCTACAGCACTGCCATAGTCCCTTTAATACTTGATGTTTTCGTTGCTCTTTTGCTCACTCGTATATCTGTTCCTATACTACACTAAGCTTCCTGAGGGACAGGCTGCTGACAGATTTATTCTATGCCGAGTTCATTTCCCTGAGTGCCTCTCTTGCTCCCTAATACAGGGGCTTCCTTCTGTTTTGGTTGTTCAATGCGTGGTATGTGTATAGCAGGTGATGCAACCTTGAATTAAGGAATGAAACAACATTGCCTTGTATTGTGATACCTGTATCACACTCGTGTAATGCACCGCTGTGTATATTTATGTCAACTGTCAACTAGGTTGTGAGGGCAGGAGTCAGTGTGTGAGTCATCTTGCCTCACTGGGCGTACACAGAGATGTCTGGCTCAGCGACTGCACACTGGCTGATTGATCCGCTGCAAAGGGAAGCAATGGAAGAGAAGAGAGACTTCGGGCGCCTCGCCCCTGCAGGGCAAGCCCCTCCGCTCCCTGTGAGCGGGCCGCGATCCCCGCTCAGCCCCCCAGCCTTTCTGCACTCCCAGCAAGACCGCGCGGTGCCCCGCGAGTGGCGCGGGGGCGGGACTTCCGGGCGCGTTCGCTGAAGCCTTCCGCCGCGAGGCGGAAGCCCGGCTCCGGGTCCGCATCGGAGTCGGAGCGCCCGGCGCTCGGGTCCTCGGTGGATGCCGCTCGGCCCCCGCCGCTGCCCCGCGCCGCAGGACGGGGAGACCGGGTAGGGACGGCCGAGTCGGGACTCCTCGCGCAGGGGAAGGGAGAAGCGGACTCCCGATCTGAGGGAGGGGACCATGATCGGGGCCCGGGGGACGGGGACAGCTCGAAGGGCAGCAGTAAGGGGCTGGGGAAGGAGGCACCGGGGACCCTGAGGCCGAAGAGGCCGGGAGGCGGGGAGTCGCGGGTGACACGGGGCTGGGACGCTTCTCGGAGGAAAGTCGCCCCGCGTGGGGGAGTGTCCTGGGACTCGGCTGATGGGGAGGGTGGCACGAGATGGCAAAGGTGAGCGTCCAGGGGAAGGTTCGAGAGGAGGGGGCCAGTCCTGTAAGGGTCGTGGTCGAGAGGGGCGTCTTGACCTAACGGATCAGAAAGAGGACCAGCCACCAAGTGGACGCTGGACTCGTACCGCTTCATTCTCAATACTGTGTGTGTGTGCGTGTGTGCACCCCATGTGGATTTCGGGTAGATTTTTCACATTCCTAAGGAAGCTTGACCCTTCTTCATCCAGGTTCCAACTTATGCTGCCTATCTTTGTCAAACCAATAGTCCTTTAAAGTTGTCTTCATACAAGCAAGCCAAGCAAAGTTTTCCTTTTGGAATTTTCTCTACCCTGCAGAGTTTAGGTTGTCTTATTTCCTTTGTCATGGAATGTACTTCTAAATATGTTTAGAATTACTATGATAATTACATGCATAGGCATTGCTGAGAAAGTTTGCAGTTACAGTTCATTGTTTTTATTCCAAACTTTCTAGCACATTTTTACTATAAGTTATCCTGTTGAGTTGAGTTTCTCAGTTTAACCAGGAAGGGCAATTTTACATTAGGGTGCAACCAATTACTAGCAATTACTAAGAACTTACTGCTACTTTTTATTCCTGCTACAAGGAAATAAATATATTTGCCATTGGCAGTATTTTAAAAACTATTGATAACCCAAAGTCTGTTGTAGATACATCAGCGCATTGAGTTTTCCTTACTGGCCAGCGTGTAGTATGTGGGCTTATTTTTATCATTACCAGAGATTGTAATTACTCATTGTCTACACTGTATTTGTTTTATCGGCTGCAATACGTACTTCTTATCAACATCATACAGTGTCTCACAGTGTAATTACAACATCATACAGTGTCTCACAGTGTAATTACAGACTCTCCTAGCTTCAAGTACATGGTAGGTGAATTGGAGTTTTGCCACAGACTGGGCAAGGTATTTCGGGAGAACGGTAACATTATCATTGGTGGAGGGTGATATCTGATTATTGCTTTGCTTGCTTTAGCTGTTTTTAAGTGTTAAGTGTTAAAACTTTTTATTTTTAAAGTTTCTGTATTAGTACAGATAATTTTCAGATCTGATTTGGTGCTCTGGCTTGTAATAATTTATGTAAAACTATAACATTTTATATTTATTGGTGCCTTGGTGTCTTGCTAGCTTACAAATTATTTTTTTCCTCCAGCATCTTGAGGTATAACTGACAAGTAAAGATTTTATATATTTAACGTTGGTGATGTGATGATACGATATACGTATACATTGTAAAATGATTACCGCAATTAAGCTAATTAACAAATCAAAACTTCACATAGTTACCATTTTCTTTTTTTGGTGGTGATAACACTTAAGATCTACTTTATTTCAAATTTGAAATATGCAGTATTATTAACTATAGCTTACAAACTCTTGAAAATCGGTGCTTGAGTTAGTTATAATTTCCTTTTGTTTGTGGGCACAGCTGATATTTACCAGTAAAGCAGTGCCTAAACATAAACAATGCTTTAACATGTAAATGAGCATATTGGATACTTTTCAAGTTAGAAAATGAAAAGATGACACTGATCTTTATAGTTATTGAATTAACTGCTTTGTAGATTTTTATATATGTCATAATTTAATCTTATTTCTTTAAATTAGACAGTACTGTTCTATTACTAAGACTTGTTCTGATTTTTCCATACAATCTTGGTTTTAAAATGTGTTCTTTCCCCCATTTCCCTTGGTGTTGGGGAGATAACGCCCTTGAGACAACAGGGAGGTCTTCAGGAGTTCTTGGTAGAGGAAGTTCTCCCTTTGAAACACAAGCTCCCTGCCTTCTGTGGCACGTTTCTAGTTACATATCTGAATGGTATGGTCGCAACCTGAGTGCCCTGTGTGCTGAACAATCTTTGGAATTTTTGTTCTTTGTTCTCATTGTTTTGTAAATGCCATAGCTTTCTCGGGATAAATTCCATGTGTTATTCTGGAGGAGTTAGATGTATTTTACAGTATAAGCAGTCACAATCGTGGCAACTTTTTATTAGGGTGCAGCAAATTACTCGTTAAGGATTTGATTTTATTTCTTTTTATTTCCACCACAGTGAAATATCTTTCTGAATTGGAGGAACTGTTAACACAGTGATAACCAAAACTCCCGTCTTCACATACACATACTTACCTGTTTTGTTTCCCTTAATCATCAGTTTGTAATATATGAAGTGATTTCTATCTTCAATTTTTCTGGTTATGCACTCTCTGATGATTAATTGTATAATATATAGTCCATTCTCAGTTATCTGTGTACCCTAGTTAGAAAGCCATTCCCTGCCATTTGATGGCATCAGGAGAATTTGTGAACAGTTGAGGAATACGGCGTTTGGATGGGGAGATACCAAGCAGTGTTGACTGGCAGCTGACTTACCACCCAGCTGCTGCATTGCCTGTGATAGAAGCATGGCCCTCAACACGATGGGCTGAGGCACAGTCAGCCCCTTCGTTTAATGTCACTCTCCGTCCTTTTTCTTCTACTGATGTTGACCTTTCTCTCAGTCTCAGTGACTAAGATGACCTGGGTCACAAAGTGATTCGGAGGGCTCATAGTAGCCCAAAGGACTGCAGTCTTGTTGGTAGAGACTTGTCCATTCCGCTGAGTCTGTTCTCATCAATGTGGCAAATTTTCCAGCCTCCAGCATGCAGCCCTGGCTTTGAAACACTGTTGACATTATTGTTGTTTGAAAAATAGTTTTAACACTAAATTAGAATTGGCCATGTTATGTAAGTGGATTCTACTTAGATTTGCTTAGAGTGAGGCATTGCATTAAATTATAAATGAACTTTTAAAGTGGTGTGATATACCTCACAATCGCAAATACTGTAGAAAATATGCTGATTGCCCTTAGCCTTTGTTGTTACTGGGGGTTGTTTTTTTTTTGTTTTGTTTTTGTTTCTTTCTTTGTGTGTGTGTGTGATTTTAAGGAAAAGAAAAACTATTGGATAAAAGACTTGGGCAGGGACACTGACCGCTCCCAGTGACTTTAAGGAATGATGGTGGGAGCCATCTGCACGGTGTGTGTGAGAGAGAGAGAGAGAGAGAGAGAGAGAG